TGTCACTTACCTACACTCTCCCCCACCTCCAGTTTTCTTGACTTTGTCTTGAAACCGGGTCCAGGTGGGGAGTGGGAAGAGAGAGTCCGGTAGATGCTGCGCAGGTTTACTATAACTATAAACTAATTCACGCGCAAGCAACCGTGGCTGCTCACCTTTTGTGGAGCACACGGTGGAGATCGTCGGAAACGACGGTTGAACTGTCGAGACATGTTGAAATGCAGTAGACCTTTGATGGGGAAGTGCGCGGTGATCTTGTCTTGTGTGCGGTGGTTTACCGCAGATTTTCATAAAGGCTCATCTGGACGAACAGTCCCATGCGGCAAGTAGATGTGCGTTACAGTTCACACGGTTGGGCAGTTACGGCAGACGAACGTCGGGGATTCTCGCATTAGTTTCCCGGTCTCAGTGCGATGGATTCGCAAACGACCGACTAGGCTGACGCATGATATGGAAGTGCGCTTGCAATGAGGACAAGTTGGGATTTGACAAACGTTGCTGATGTTCGGAGTGGTAGTTGACAGGACGTTTGGAGTGTTCTCAGCGAGCATGGCGGCGGAGGGGGGGGGGTGCGGGAGCTGTTGGCGTGCGTCTTGTGCCAATGATGATGGGGGTGATAGGCGGCATAAATGGCGGCGTGGTAGCATTACAATTTAATGGCTTTCCCTCTCCCTCATTTGCAGAACCTAACCAGTTTTTGCTTTGTTGGAGTTTGCTTATTACCGAAGCCCGCACATACCTGTTAAAATTTATCAGTCGCTCTTTGTGATAGTCTTCTGCTTAATACTTTGCAGTCTTTCATCGAAATTCAGCCTTTACCCATTAGATATTCATTCACTACAGGAACAAACGGAACGCTGAATTTTCGGAGATGTAATGCCTCATGTCCACAGGATGTTGGTATTTTTGTGCAACCGTACTAAGTGTGTGCAGTACGAAGTAAACTGAATTGCTGATTCTGTTAATCTTGCATTCAACATTATCGGTGCACAGGCTCATTTCCAAGTCATCTAGCATATTGCAAGTTTCTAGGATTCACTGACACAGATTTGACACATTCGGATTCATAAGAACTAGTAATTCACTGAGTCTCACAAGATCATTTTTGAATATGCATATATTATGGTAGAGGGGTGCTCACCGAACGTTTTTACGGAACTCTCTCGTCCCGTTGTATCTCAGGGTTTTTTCTAGAGCCCAACCAGCAGCCGCACAGCGGCGCGTAATATAGGGAGGGGGGAGGAGGGTAATAGACCAAAAAATGGTGATTTGAGTCTCCCTCGTCCCTGTTGGAAATGCTATTTTGCCTATATCGTGCACCGCCGTGCGGCTGCTGGTTGGGATCGAGAGAGCTCTAAGACACAACGGGAGGAATGAGTTTCGGAAAAACGATCGGCGAACACCCCTCCAACATTGTATATTCCCGATCGCAACCGGCAGGTCAACGAGCCCGTGGCTCAGTGGTTGGGGGCGTTGGACCTATAACCAACATGTCTCAGGATCGAACCCCAGGTGTTCCATGCTTCGGGGTTGGGTGTGGCTGGCTGGAAACGACTAATAAACCAGAAATGGTCATTATAGTCTCCCTTGTCTTCGTCAGTAATGCCATTCTGCTTACACATATATTATTATTATTATTATTATTATTATTATTATCATTTTTATTACCACAATATGCGCCCCTCTGACCAGTTAATCGAATCGTTTTTATGTATTGGACACCGGTGAATAGTTCTCCTGCTGAATGATTGGGAATGAGATACCTCATCTTTCAGACCATACAACGTTGTATGGACTGAGAGATGTGGTGTGAAAAGGTCACCCAGGACGCTTGGCCACTTTTGCCGACCCTTTTTTGCTTCAGTTACTGAAAACTCCCAGAGGTAATTTCAGGACAGATATATTTTGCGAATGGTCACGGAAAATCCTGAGAGGTGTTGATAATGCTAGGTGTCTCTTTGGACTAACGATTATTTCACACACGACTCTTTATTGATCTCAACTGTTAACACCCGGTTGGGTCTACGCCCAGAAACTAACTTGCTGTTCAATTAAGCAGTGGGTTTTTCCCACCAATCTGCCTTCAGCTAAATGAGTAAAAATCCCCCTACTGATAATTTACCGGCATTTTCTTTATTTCCCAAGGTGTCCAGCGACTCTGCCAACTTTGGGATAAGTCCATCAAATTCATGAACTTTTCTTGTTTTGATTGGCGACACGCTTTGTGTAGGTTAAATCTCAATCATTGAAAAGTTATAGTTTCGTAGTTCTGCCATACCAAATGTCTGAGCTATATGGCTTCAGACGGATGCAGCGTTCTATCCAAGTGCGACAATGCAGCGTTACCAGCAGGCTCTACAGAGCCGACTGCATGAAGTAGTCTGCCTGATCGTGAGGGATCCATGAACTTAACGAGTCTCATCTACTATTCTTCTAATCTCTTTGTGCCGGAATCACACATAACTGAACTGTTTAGTTCCTGCACAAAAAACGTCAGATATCTTCAGTTTTAATCCATGTCAAACCTCAAGGATCCGAAAAACACCCTCCCGCGTACCTTTTTAAAAACTTTTTTCATGAGAACTTGTTTGACTCTATATAAATACTCACATTATCACATTATATTGTTCTCTTCATTATGTAGGAATATTTACATCTACTACACTGAGAGGCGGTTTCATTGCGTTCGTGACAGACAAAGTATACCTCCAGGAGGTGAGAATATCAAACGTTTTCCAAAACGCATGGTTCTTGGGTGAATGTGTGAAAAACGAAGGAAGTCTGCTTTGCAGGTATGGAAGACCATTGGATCCGCAAAACGTTTGAGTTCAAGTGCCATAATGAACAGTCCAGCTCACCGCAGGTGCTTTCAGAAACTCCCTCAACATGCATGTGAGCAGTCAGCTTTGCATGCGCCATTTCGTAGTTTTTAATCAGTCGTAGGCGTAATTTTTGGGTGATGACGTGCATGCTATATTGGCTCTTCGTACTTTTGAACCAATCAACGCCCTTCGAAACTTGGCGTTTTCAAGAAATTGAGTACTGTAGAGGATAGAAAACACTTATTCGCCGTTCAACTTAGCCTGTAATTCTAAGTCTCCTGATAGCGTTACGCCGACATCTCCATGAATCTAATTATTGTGAACACCGCCCATAATTTGTTCGAATTTATCACCCAATCAAAGGCCAGGAGCACTTCGCCTTAGCCCGAATAGCCTCGTCGCAGTTGCCGGCGCAATATGGCCAGCAGGTCTCTTCTCTCTTTTTCGAGGCTTGTAGGAAGCCATGTGAGAACATCTTTCCTTCAGAAGCAGGCATCTTTTCCTTGTCTAGCTAGCCGAAGTAAGCTCATTAGATAATCGCTTCACCTCATTTAGAATGGTTTGCGACCGAGGCGAAACCAGCTGCAGCTGTTTCCGCAGCACCTGCTACTTCTCTTGCCAAAGGTCGCATCGTAGCCGTCATTGGCGCCGTCGTTGACGTTCAGTTTGATGACAACCTTCCACCAATTCTGAACGCGCTCGAAGTTCAGGGCCGATCACCTCGACTTATTCTCGAAGTAGCTCAACACCTCGGCGAAAGTACTGTGCGTACCATCGCTATGGATGGTACTGAAGGCCTTGTCCGCGGTCAACAGTGTGTTGATACTGGATCACCTATTAGCATTCCTGTCGGACCGGAAACCCTTGGTCGCATTATGAACGTTATCGGTGAAGCTATTGACGAGCGCGGCCCAATAAATGCGAAAATGACTTTGCCGATTCACCAGGAAGCCCCGGCTTTCGTCGACATGAGTACTGATCAGGAGATTCTCGAGACTGGCATTAAGGTTGTGGATTTGCTCGCCCCTTACGCCAAGGGTGGAAAGATTGGTAGGTAATAGTGTCGCATCTCACGTCTGCCTAGGGCTCTTCGGTGGTGCGGGTGTTGGCAAGACCGTCATTATCATGGAACTTATTAATAACATCGCTCGAGCCCACGGTGGGTATTCTGTATTTGCAGGTGTGGGCGAACGGACTCGCGAAGGAAACGATTTGTATAATGAAATGATAACTACTGGTGTCATTGATCTCAAGGGCAAAAACTCAAAGGTTGCTAATTTTGGTTCGAGTTACTGTCTTAGGTTTCCCTTGTGTATGGTCAAATGAATGAACCCCCAGGTGCCCGAGCTCGTGTTGCCCTTTCTGGCTTGACCGTGGCAGAGTATTTCCGTGATCATGAAGGACAGGACGTGCTGCTTTTTATTGACAACATCTTCCGTTTCACTCAAGCTGGGTCTGAGGTCTCTGCCCTGCTGGGCCGCATTCCTAGTGCCGTTGGTTACCAACCTACTCTGGCAACGGACATGGGTACTATGCAGGAACGAATCACGACTACCAAGAAGGGCTCAATTACTTCCGTCCAGGCCATCTATGTGCCTGCAGATGATCTGACTGACCCTGCTCCGGCCACCACTTTCGCTCATCTTGACGCAACCACCGTCTTGAGCCGAGGCATTGCCGGTCTGGGAATATACCCAGCCGTCGATCCCCTCGATTCGACCAGCCGCATTTTAGACGCCAACATCGTCGGCCAAGAACACTATAGCGTTGCACGTGGTGTGCAGAAGATACTTCAAGTATGCCCTCTTGCTTATATAATCTCTTGCACCCTGGTAGGACCAACGTTCTCTTCAAGACATCATTGCCATTTTGGGTATGGATGAGTTGTCGGAAGAAGACAAGCTAACCGTCGCCCGTGCTCGAAAGATTCAACGATTCCTTAGTCAACCATTCCAGGTTGCCGAGGTCTTCACTGGCCTAGAGGGCAAGCTGGTACCCCTTCAGGAGACCATTAAGGGCTTCAAGATGATTTTGAATGGCATGTTCAGGTTTTTTTGTTTAATCTATTCTGTAGGTGAAATGGATCAGTATCCGGAGACTGCCTTCTACATGGTCGGTGGGGTCGAAGACGTCATTGCAAAGGCTGAGAAGTTGGCTGCCGAAAATTAGTTCTTGGAACATCCCTAGCTGGCACGTGATACTGTGGACTTAGTCACATTTGTAAATTTCTTATCCAAGTCTCGAGCAAAATTTAGCTTTTATTCTGTTGGCTTTGCTTTTTTTCAGAAATTTTCGCCGGGAATGCGTATGCCCCGTTCGTAACCACTGACTTAATGATGATAAGTACTCTCCTGATTCTAATTTTGAGACATCTGTCTCGACGGATGGGGTCTGTGACATTCGCAATCTTTCGCCATGGGTTCCACTTTGGTAAAATAGCCTCTATATCCTTGCGGCCTTCCAGACGTACTGTCTTAGCCTTTTTATTCCTACCGACTCACTGCTTGGGATGAAAAGATGGGTTCTCCACTAACACAGCTGCTTGCTACCCGGCACGTCCACAGCTGGCTAGCGAGATAGCGAGGTTCTCAGGTCCGATGGATGAGCAGCCGCAGACCTACAGCAGCAGCACTACCAGGGCACGACCGGCCGAGGCCTGACGCGTTGACTGCCATATAAATTGCCGCAAAGCTCGACGACGATAGCGTCATGCGACCGTGGATCGCCTTTAAATATGCCTGTTTGCTACCGATGCCTTGTAATTAGGTTTTAAAGTAAAGCATCAGAGGAGACAATCCCGGAAAATCTGGGTGGCTCTCAATGACTCGCCTGTACTCAAATTTTCCAACTTACTCCAATAGCTCGGCTGAGTAGTATGCGGGCTAAGCCGCTTAAGCAGGAACGTACCTCTGGTATGGGGCGGTGGGACGTCCCTGGACTCTGTGACCCGGTCTGACGGAACACAGTCATCATTACAGTGTCGATGTCTGCTGCTTGCCCGAATCCTCGACTCAGGCTCACACCTCAGCTAGGCAAAGGTTTCGTGAGTGGATGTGTAGTAGGGGATGGATGTGTGGTGTTGAAGTCGACAACGGCCACTGGTCAAACCATGTTCTCATGCACGGTCGCCTGAGGGTTCGCTTCTCATCCGTCCTCAGGCCATCACCTGCAGCATGCCTTGATGTCACAAAATCACATTCCAAAACCACGAGGACATGGTACGTAGATCCGCTCTCGCATTATGACGCTAGTTGAAGAAGGTAGCAGCACGTGGTCGTCATTGGAGCCATTGGTCTATGCGACAGATGGAAAAAGTTACCGCCACAACGAACACCTTTTCCGCCAACTCCAGAAGGTAGCGGTAAGGCCGGCTGCAGGTGGCCACAAAGACCATCGGGCTGAGGTAGCAACTTCTGTAGGGCGGGCCTCAAACGTCATTGAGACTCGAAAGCTGTCAAGTTGTTTGCCAAGTTGGTGGTAGGCCCCCTGAATCAGATATGTACATTAATTTTCTCTGTCCCGAGGCGGGCAATTTCGCACGTGGCCACTGTTCACTGTCGTTTAGGACGAAGTCCATTGGGCCAGCACCAGATCGCCTGGTGCAATGAACAACTCGTTCATACAGTTGTAGGCCAACTGGTCATTTCAGCCTCCGAGCATACAATCTCCAAATTTGGTATTGATGATTGGGTGATAGAGGCCACGAGCAGGCAACCACCTATTAGGCCGAAGCCGGCCAAGCAATAATAGCAGAGAGGGGAGACGACAGGGTTATCATAGCTTGACCGACTTCGGCCTGGCAGGTGGTTGCCTGTTCGTGGCCCCTATCACCCATACGAAGCTTCTTGGTTTCGGGAAGCCAGTGGATTGGTGTGCGCCCATTCCTAAGTGCCGCTTTCCTGACTTCAGACTTCCATGACACATTTTCATCAAATAAATCCGTACATTTTGCGCACTTATAAAAAGATCCTCTGTTGTTATTAAAATAATGCAACCGGGATAAATCGCATCGCTTACTTCGTGGGTCACAATAAGAAACCAGTTTCTGGTGGGATATCTGAACATTCCTGCGAGCGTCGCAAAAGTATGGTGTTCGCAAGCATTTGGAGATCGGTATGCTCCCATTAAGCGCCATTTAAAATTAAAGCGTAATTTCCCCTAAAATGGGTGTAGAAGGCGGATTTCTAGCTAAGTAATAGCATTGATGGATGAAAAACAAGTGGGGCGTTTTCATTTAAGTGTAATTTACGCAGTCGGCCGGAACGATTTTCAATCGAATCCAATGACCTACTATGTACGCATTGACCCCGGAATATTTTTTCGGTATTATTTTCCTCGACCTAAGTAATCCCATTTCAAGGAACGTAGAACAACTTAGTTCCATGTTTACCAAGAATCTCCCCATCCTGTAGGCATTACGTAATATTTGACGAGGCAGATAATCGGTACGTGTCACCCAACAAGACCAGGAAGACCGGACTGGCCATTTTATGCTTGTCAGACCGTCCTAAATATCATACGGGCCTCGTGGACTCCACCTCGGGTATTTCGAAAGTCAATCTCTACCACTTGAGTCAAAAACCTTCTCCGTGTGGTTTGCGGTCGAGACTGGTAGGGGTCTTGTGGAAGCAGTGTCCATCTGGAGGGAGAGAAGGACATCTCACTTTTGCCCTGGATTTGGAGACGTGGAATCCTCGTAGACTGCCGTGCAACGACTAGCAGTCAATAGTTGAGAAGCATTACTTTTAGGGATACGTAAATAAAAGTGGAGTTTTTGGACTTGTTTTTCGTCACCAGTCAGCCGTGTCCAATTCCAGGTTGAGAGCCTCAACTTTGAGCATGAGCTAGTTTGCTGTTGGGAATTTTGAAGCCAAAAGCACTAATACTTGAGATGCGTGCAAACTAATGGCATTCAGTCCTCCTTTGCCCAAATCGCCGATGCATGCCAGTTAGTGACTGGCCGTCCTTGCTCAACGACCCACAAGGCCCCTAGCTCCACAATTAAGGTCAAGTATGGATACAAATTGTCGCATTACAACCAACATAGGTCCGCGGCCGCCTGCACTGCGCGAAGCTTATAAACCAAGTTGCCTCAGGCTTGTTCCCACCGGCAGAACGACACATCTCTTGCTTGACTGGCACCCGGCACGGCATGACTATGGGTCGTTTTGGCGGAGATTCTTGGGTGGGAAAAACAGGACAGAAGTAATGCTCTGGTAGTACGTCAAACGCAGTCTGAACATACACATACGTCACTGAGTCCGATCAAGCGCAGGCCTCGGTGGTTAGCTGTCTGAAATGCTGCTCCATGTCAGTTGTCCGGTTCAAACCTTCCAATGAGTGCAGCTTTAAGGCAAACTAATGATAGTAGTAGTGTGGCTAAGTTCTCATCCATTCGGTAGGAAAGCACCTGTATGGGGACTTTGGTTTTTGTCCTATAGTGTTGTAAACGGGAAGCGAGGTGGAATAAAATGAGTGGTGTATGTTTCCGAGAGCACAAACGGAAAATGGGCCTGATGTGGGCGTGCGCGTGTGTTACCGTTTTTCTGCTCTCCTGTGACCGCCAAGCTTTGCCAACACGTACATCTGGTGATTTGTCTAATAGGCGTTATTTTCAGTTTGCACATGTTAAATGCCTAAGTAGGGTACTCGAATAGTCATACCCTTAGGCACCAACAAACATTGTTGAACGTAACAGAAGACGTTGAAGAAGGGCGGGGTTTGGGGGACTAAATTAGCCGTCGCACTGGATATGGAACAGGTAACGAGGGATTAGAAATCTAGTGAGTACTGACAGGGGATAAGCTCACATAGTGTTCAAGAGCACCTCGATCCAAAGTGAGCGCATGCCGGTCTCGCAAAGATAATTTGAAGAGGAAAGAATATTCTTGCTTTTAAGCTTTAGGGTGGTCACAGTGAGGCCGGCAATACAAAAGGGAAGCCGTTTGTAATTCCACAGGCTGCAAAATGTGCCAGTACAAGGAGACAAACAGGCACTTCGGCCGCCGCGAACGACGACTTCCATCGTGTGCCCCACGACGTGGGCAAAGGACGGTACGTGCGCGTGAGTTATTTTATGGTGAGATAGGCTTGGCAGCATCCACTGCACATCTCCGCCTCCTTCACTCCAAGACGACCGAAGGTGGACTCGGGCGCAGTGGCCAACAAAGTTAAATTGTCCGTATGCTTTGCCACCTACGGTCTGGACGGCTCGAATTTCACGTGCGTGAGAGTGGTATAGGGACCACATTATGGAGTAATTGGGCTTGAATCAGTCCTCGAGACGGTTACACATGCAGAGTAGGGACTAGGAGGACCGACTTATTCCGTCGACAGGCAACCGTCCGCACCACGAATTCTAGTACGTCCTGATGGGTTCAAGTGCGTCAGATTTATTATAGCGAGGGATGCGCTTATGTGCCGTAGGGGGAGGTTTCCCAGATGTCTACACTGTGCCAACCTATCAACCAGCTGGTGGTGAGATCGATCACAGTGGCTGATAGGACTGTGTGAGACCGTCCGTGTGTGTGTGTGCTGCACACGACCTGGTCAGGCACCAGGTTGCACCAAACAACATGCCTCCTTTTTAATGTAAGAGACGATTCAGGACGGATCTGTGTGTAGTGTACGGTTATGGGCTGGCGAGATGTACTGATAGGGATTTTGACTGCGGCAGTTTGTCGCAGACTTCCACAGAGGCGCATATGGCTGACTAGCCCAGTGTGGCGAGTGGATGTCTGTGGGCAGTTGGAATGGGTGCGATTGGTGAACGGTGGTACTCCTGGCACTGATTCGTCCGTCTCAATACTTTGGGCTCATAAGTGACTGAGTAAGCCGATGCGTGATGTGAATATGCGGTGTTAATACGAGCAAGGTTGGCTGGCAGTTGCTGAGTTGGTGGCGGTTGGGATGCCGTCAATAGTGGCGATGCTATCGGGGGGAGAGAGTCTTCGAATTTGCTAAATGGGTTTGGCTGTCGACCTTGCGGTGAATTTCGCTGTTGTGGATGCGCTTGTGCCCGGAAGGTCCATGCGGTGCCTGAATGTCCCGGGACATTGTGCGCAGGTGGTGCGCGTGTGACAGGTGTGTCGGTCTCAGTGTCAGTCTCGGAGCAATGGATTAGAAAATGACTGACCAGGCCAATGCGTGATGCGAATGTGCGGTCGCAT